GGATCCTCCCGACTGGCTGGCAGTGTAGCCCACCAGTTGTAAGCAGCACCCTGCAGTAGGGACACTGTCAGCAACACTTTGTCCTCGTCATCTGCTCGCATCTCTTGTAAAGTGCGAGTGACTTTTGACAGCCACAAATCGATCTCCATGGGATCCGTCGAACGATCCCCGTAAAAATCCTCTACCTTCCTCTTCCGGAACGTATCATAATCCGGTGGACGCCTAGGTTGCGGTGGTGGTCGAAGGTTGACGTGGGCATTACTAGCTCTGCATATCAGTAAGGCCCTTTTAGTAATCGAGCTATTTTTCCCAATACAATTAGAGTAGACTGGAGATTTTATAAATAATTAAAAGAAATCCTTGACTCGTTTGGCCAAAACTTAAAACACGTTTTTCTTTTCCTTTAAAACATAAGACTTTAAAACTACGACCGATATTCCAGTATTCCTTGGAGACAAGGAACAGAAGATCACCGGCTCTGATACCAAAATGTCACATCCCGATCTCTAAAACCCTTAAATAACAATTTTGCTCCGGAGCTTATTTAAAATTTTGAAAGAAAGAAACAATAATGTGCTCGAAATACCAATATTGAAAATACACCTTATAATTTAAATTAAAAGCAAAACCCTAACATTTGGGCAAACCTCAATCCATAAAGTCGTATCCTTTTAAATCTCCAGTCATTACTCATGATCATAAAGCAAATAACTAAAGATTACAAATGTTGCTTACTCCGATCCGTGGTCAGACATCTTCAGAAGCGCTCACGTGGTCCTCCTCGGGTAGCCTGCTCTCTCACTGGATGCTCCTCGACTGGATGCTCCCTAGCTCCTCCTCTACGACCTGGTGAGTGGGTTGGGGTCAGCCTACGCCATTACTTAAACTTGAATCACTTACGTGTTCCCTTAAGTGTTCACCTCAAAACTGGTGGAAGTTGTTCATACTTCCACCCTTTAAATTTTAACCCTTAAAAACGTGGGAGTTGTTGTTACTCACCACCCTCTAAAATCTTAAACCTTTGACCGACACTGGGATCCCCTCACTAACTAGTCCAGCCGCCCAGCTCATATGTATGAGGGCCAACATAGGCCTTTCCTTAAACCTTTTTATGGGAGTAATCGATTCAACCCCATAAACCTTAAGAGTGTATCATACTCTTCCTTTAAAATTCATGTGATGTCTACGTGATTCATCCACATGTTCCTTAAGAGCAAACTTGCTCTTCCTTGAAACTTTCACTGGGGCGGGGTACTGGCGTTAGTGAATTACCTTTAAAACTTTTCACCCTAATTTAATTAGGAGTGAAATACCTCTTAAATGTTGATCCTTAAAGATCAAACAACCTTCATTAAATAAACATAAATATAAAAGCTTCAAGTAAATACTGAAAGCTCAAATAATCATATACTTCACAATCATAATTCAAATAGAGCATCTCAGATAATATCTCAAATAAAACATGCTCATCAATCACGACATAAATCAATCATTGGCATACAATTCACATAAACACACATACTTAAAACTCGTAAGTCAAATACTTGAAAATATTTAAGGCGTAGAATTTACCCCCTTAAACCACTCACCTCTCAAATGACGATTCTTAGTTCCCTTGATGTGAAATCCTTAATCCAATCGCTTCCTCAATCCTATAAACTGAAATCATCTTCCCTTAGTCGGTAATCCTCAGATTTAGTCCCTTTAACGTATTGGTAAAATTTCCCTCATTGATTACTTAGTCCCAAAATCCTTTAAAAATGACCCTCAATCTCTTTTAAATCATTTCCTCAAAACTAAACTTTTCAACCTCTTTAATCAAGAATTAAATCATCTCAAGCAATTCAATATTTCTTAAAATAGTTCTCATACAATTCTCATAAATTTCTGAAAATATATTTTCCACTTAAGACTCCACATTATGACCTTGGTTAACTCAAATCATTAATCCAAATCAATAAACATAAGCCCCTCTTTTAAATAACCTATTTTTCCTATTAAAATTAATCATATAAAATTTTTAAACCAAGTCACGAACACTAATAATTATGATTCATAATTTTATAACGTCAATAAATAATCCCAGTTTTATGGAAAATTATCAAATCACCAAACCGACTTCTGACAGTATTTTAATTAATTTAAACCAACATTAGTTCAACTTTTTGTAAATACAAGTACAGTTCCAAAAATTCTAAAATTTATACACGAGCTGTATATCGTTTCCTAGAAATTCTAAAATTATTAGATCATTAAAATACCTACTGGAAAGCATCACAACTAACATAATTATAAAATAAATACAACTTTCGGGCCAATTTGTCAAAACTAAAAACTCAGAGGGACTAAGCTGTTCATACTGAACACTTGAGGGACTGATCTGGGAATTTGCGCATCAGTCTTTAGCGACGATCGTCTTCTTCACTAAAAGACTGTAAGTTTCGTTGCTAAAACCCATAACTTGCATATACGCTAATACTCGAGTTAATCTTACAGAATCAGATCTGTTACCTTGGGATCGATCCTAAAACTGGGTTTGATGATTCTGGGCGTCGTTCCTCCTTGTCGATTTCCGTTTGAATCGGACGCCTTGTGGCAAAGCTACGGTTTATTACGTATGCGGTTCGATTAGCTACAACATAACTCGAGTTCGAAAGAAACTTTGGGTTCGAGATTCTTACCGAGCCTGAGTCGTGTTTGCTTGGCAGGATAAGGCGGTACCGAGAGGGTCGTGCTCCCGGTCGGTCGGCGAGACGTGTTGGGGATATGAAAATGAGATGGAATGGGGCGACGGACGAACAACGCTCGCTTGCGCTAGCGGAAGGGCTATTGTCGCTACCGGCTGTCAAACGTGCGGGAGTAGTTGTGCAGCTGTTCGCTTAGGCTGCTGCTGTTGCTAGTCGAGATTGGAATAGAAGGTCGACGTCTGCTGGTGGTGGCGACGTGTTTGACGGTGGCAGATGTCGAGAGGGAGAGGGAGTCTACGGCTGGGTTTTCTTTCCTTCCTCGGCTGCTGCTAGCTAACTTCCCTCTATTTTTGTTTGTTGTTTATGAATAAGAAATACAATGAATGGAGTAAATGGGTCTCGCTGTAGTTGAAGAGCAAAAATTGTGTGAGAGATGGATAGCACTGGTGAGTGTCTATGGGAGGGAGAACAATGTGTCGTATAACTTAAGGAAAGGGGATGAGATTCAACTTAAAGAAAATTCCACCGACAACGTTCTTCTTTAGCTACCCAACTCTCCTATTAAATTGGACAGCCCTATTAAGTATGGGTGTTACATGGTGGTTCTGTTGTTGCCGTTCCAAATTATGACAAGATAATAAAATGATTTGATTTGGTCTCTTGTGAGGCTTTGCAGAAGACTGGGGCGAGAGAGGTGGGATGGATGGGGATTAATTGGGGTCATGGTAAAAAAAGGGAGAGGTGGGGTGGTGTACTGATGGGGTGGGGTGGTTTTTCTTCCTTTTTTTTGTTTTAGTTTTGTTTTACTAATAATAATAATAATATGTTATTATTATTATTCCTAATTCGCAATTGTAACCATTCGTACGTAATCGTCTATCCAATCGATAATTTATCATGATTGAACCTGAACTCAAATGTCAGGGTGTTACACCCACCCCCCGAGAACTCAGTGCCTCACCCATTGGAAAGACACTGCGAACCAGCTGTCAGATGAAATACTGCAACTTGGGGGGTATGAGAGACCCCCAAACCCTTTTCCAGAGGCTACGATCCCACAACTGAACTTTCGCCTTCACCCTTAGCTCCTTCCTCCTCTTGAACCACTGCTAAGTGATAGCCAGACTTGATAGTATAACGACCTGATTGCTCCCCATTCCATACCGCATGATCAGGCACCGGAGAAATAGGCAAAGGAATAGCTAGAATGACCCGGACAGTCTCCTCCTCAAAGATTTGACGTAAGCAGTCCACCTTCCAAACCCTTCGTTCGGGCATATTAAAGACGCAACTGATCCCTCGAACCTAGCCAATTTGCCATCATAGACCTTGAACCACCAAATCATGTCCGTGCAACACCCCCCGCCAGCCCCAAGAAGGTAGAGATCCAGCCTTAGCATCCAGAAGAGAAGAGTTAGGAAAGTACTTTCCTTTAAACACTTGAGGTAATAGAGAGTTGACTCTTTCCATATTCGCCATGCCACTTTTGCCAACAAAGCCTTATTAAACTTGTCAAATCTCCTAAAACCCAATCCAATCTCATGCTTACTTAAGCACAACGATTTCCAAGAAACCCAATGAATTCGTCGCTCACCTTGTTTCACCCCACCAAAATCTAGCCAAGTTCCTATCAAGCGAACAACACAAAGACTAGGCTTGGCAACGGGGCGGATCGGGGCAGGGCATGGCCTATCTGCAACCTGCTCGAATTGCTAACGAATTTTTCCTGAATCCGCCCCATTACTAATATCGGGTAGATGCCCAAGCCCGAAACCATCGGACAATGGGTTTTAACCCAATATAGCGGGTTTACCTGCTATTACCAAAAAACTGTTAAAAACCAACAAAATACACTAGAATTGAAACTGAAAACTGCATAAATCAGGCATCACCATTCACCAAATCATCATCCAAACAAAAGAAAACAAATTCCAAATTGGATTCCAACATCCATAAAAGCATATAACCATAAACCAAACGAAACCAAACTAGTTCCAAAATGTTCAATCTTCAACCAACCAACAAAATGAGCAACTACATTGCTTCAAACAAAATGATCATCGTCTTCATTCTTCAACAGCAGCACTGCAACAACCACTAGTCACTAGCAAGCACTCAATAATTTTTTTTCGCTTTCAATTTTCATGAATGAGTTAAGCATGCAATAATTTATAATTTTAATTTTTAACAATATCCATTTATTTATTTTAATTATCTTTCCAGCTTTCAAAAAATTTAGTCAACAACTAACCCAAAAAATATTTTTGATCATTCCGAAAATAAAATATTCAGGATAAAGGAGATAAAACGAATTGGAAATAGGAAAAAAGGGGATAAAACGAAAAGAGAGAGGTTAGGGTTTTAGGAAAACCCTTTGGAGCCTTGGACGGTGAAAGACACTGGTAGCTTGAGAGTGGCGCTTCCCTGCTGTATGTCAAAAGCAGACGCTCTACCTTTTCACATCATCCCGCATCAGATTTTACTTCCTTTTCTTTGTTAGAGATGGCTGGTTCGAGAGAATTAGCCGCAACGGCTACCGAGTTCTTGAGGGTAAGTTTTTCGCTTTCACTTTTCTGCAGTCTTTCAATCCCAATGTACTACCGTTGCTGCTTTACGGGGGATTCTATTCAGTAAAGTTACGAACTTCCGACGATTCTATTAATAATCTTGTTGTTTTGGCCCTGAATTTTTGTCCACAGGGGACGCAAGGGCAAACTCTGTTCTTACATAGAGATTCGCCCATCAACAGGCGAAACCAGTTGATACTTGGAACGCTCCGCGCCGGGAATAAGTCTAATGCCTGGATATCTGGGAGACAAGCGGTTTCACTTAGATGTTCTTCAAATTCGAAAAAGCCAAGAGCTTTGGTTTCTGGGGGAGTTAGCAGCTCTGTTGATGAACTTCCGAGTTTGGTTGACAAACCTGCACAAGAAATTATCCACTTTTATCGGGTACCATTTATTCAAGAGAGTGCCACTGTTGAATTGCTCAAATCAGTTCAAACAAAAGTGTCGAATGGGATTGTGGGGTTACAGACAGAGCAGTGTTTTAATGTTGGGCTCACTTCCCAGCTTTCCGGCGACAAGCTTGGGGTTCTAAGGTGGCTTCTTCAGGAAACTTATGAGCCTGAGAATTTGGACTCGCAGAGCTTCCTTGAGAAGAAGAAGAGGGAAGGGTTGAGTACTGTTATAGTTGAGGTCGGTCCCAGGTTGTCTTTCACAACTGCTTGGTCTGCGAATGCTGTCTCAGTTTGCAAAGCTTGTGGGCTCACTGAGGTGACTAGAATGGAAAGGTCCAGGAGGTATTTGTTGTATACTAAGGGTTCATTACAAGATCATCAAATTAACGAGTTTGCTTCCATGGTTCATGATAGAATGACTGAGTGTGTTTACATTCAGAAGTTAACTTCTTTCGAGACTAGTTTGGTCCCTGAGGAAGTTCGCTTTGTGCCTGTTATGGAGAGGGGTAGGAAGGCCTTGGAGGAGATCAATCAGGAGATGGGTTTAGCTTTCGATGAGCAAGATTTACAGTATTACACCAGGCTGTTTAGGGAAGACATCAAAAGGAACCCTTCCACTGTGGAGTTATTTGACATTGCACAGTCTAATAGCGAACACAGCAGGCATTGGTTTTTCACTGGAAAGATTTTGATTGATGGAGAACCCATGAACAGAACGCTTATGCAGATTGTGAAGAGCACTTTACAGGCAAATCCAAACAACTCTGTTATTGGCTTCAAGGACAACTCTAGTGCAATCAGAGGTTTCCCAGTGAAGCATTTACAGCCAACTAAGCCTGGTTTGCCGTGTCCATTGGAAGCGGCTTCTCGTGATCTTGATGTTTTATTTACAGCTGAGACTCACAATTTTCCTTGTGCTGTGGCACCTTACCCTGGAGCAGAGACAGGTGCTGGGGGTCGAATCAGGGATACCCACGCAACAGGTCGGGGTTCATTTGTGGTTGCATCTACTGCTGGCTATTGTGTTGGTAATCTGAATATAGAGGGCTCATATTCACCATGGGAAGATCCTTCATTTGTATATCCATCAAACTTGGCATCACCCTTGCAGATTCTTATTGATGCTAGCAATGGTGCATCAGACTATGGAAACAAATTTGGGGAACCCTTGATTCAAGGTTACACTAGAACTTTTGGAATGAGACTTCCAAATGGCGAAAGGAGAGAATGGTTGAAACCAATTATGTTCAGCGCTGGAATTGGGCAGATTGACCATATCCACATAACTAAAGGAGAGCCTGATATTGGTATGCTAGTAGTGAAGATTGGAGGTCCTGCTTACCGTATCGGCATGGGAGGTGGAGCAGCTTCCAGCATGGTTAGTGGACAGAATGATGCCGAACTTGATTTCAATGCTGTACAACGTGGAGATGCTGAGATGGCACAAAAGTTATATCGTGTTGTTCGTGCCTGCATTGAGATGGGGGACAAGAATCCAATTATTAGCATCCATGATCAAGGGGCTGGCGGGAACTGCAATGTTGTGAAAGAAATTATATATCCAAAGGGTGCTGAGATCGATATCCGGGCAATTGTAGTTGGTGACCACACCATGTCTGTTCTAGAGATATGGGGTGCAGAGTATCAGGAGCAAGATGCAATCTTGATAAAACCTGAGAGCCGGGGTCTCTTGCAATCTATTTGTGGAAGGGAAAGGCTGTCTATGGCTGTTATTGGGACAATAAATGGAGAAGGGCGTGTTACTTTAGTTGATAAGTTAGCTGTTGAGAAATCTCGTTCTAGTGGACTCCCTGTTCCACCTCCTGCTGTAGATCTTGAGCTTGATAAAGTACTTGGCGATATGCCACAGAAGACTTTTGAATTCCACCGGGTTGCAAAAGCTCAAGAGCCTCTTAATATTGCTCCTGGGCTCACTGTAATGGATGCCTTGAAGAGGGTATTACGTCTTCCGTCTGTGTGTTCAAAGCGGTTTTTGACAACAAAAGTTGATAGGTGTGTCACAGGGCTTGTAGCCCAGCAACAGACTGTGGGTCCATTGCAGATTACTCTCGCTGATGTTGCTGTCATTGCTCAGAGTTATTCAGACCTCACTGGAGGTGCTTGCTCTATTGGGGAGCAACCAATTAAAGGTTTGCTCAATCCAAAAGCCATGGCCCGATTGGCTGTTGGTGAAGCACTCACAAATCTGGTGTGGGCAAAGGTGACATCTCTTTCTGATGTTAAAGCAAGTGGGAATTGGATGTATGCTGCCAAACTTGATGGAGAAGGAGCTGACATGTATGATGCTGCAACTGCACTTTCAGAAGCCATGATTGAACTTGGTATTGCAATTGATGGAGGAAAGGACAGTCTGTCAATGGCTGCCCATGCATCTGGTGAGGTCGTTAAGGCTCCTGGTAATCTGGTTATTAGTACCTATGTCACTTGCCCCGACATAACAAAAACAGTAACTCCTGATCTGAAGTTAGGGAATGATGGAGTTTTGCTTCATATTGATTTGGGCAAGGGAAATCGGCGATTAGGTGGTTCTGCCCTTGCTCAGGCTTTTGATCAAGTTGGAGATGAATGTCCTGATCTAGATGATGTTGCTTACCTGAAAAAGGTTTTTGAAGGTGTACAAGATCTGATTACTGATGAACTAATCTCCTCTGGGCATGACATTAGTGATGGTGGCTTACTTGTCTGTGCATTAGAAATGGCATTTGCTGGAAATCGTGGGATTATTTTGGACTTGCGGTCACGGGGTAAAGGTCTCTTCCAGACCCTGTTTGCGGAAGAGCTCGGCTTGATTGTTGAGGTTAGCAGGCAAAACTTTGACAAGGTAATGGGAAAACTAAACCGTGGGGGTGTTACTGCAAAAATTATTGGTCAAGTGACTGCCTCTCCCATGGTGGAACTCATTGTTGATGGACAAACTCAATTTAAAGAAGAAACTACTCTTCTCAGAGATATGTGGGAGGATGCAAGTTTTCAGCTTGAGAAGTTTCAAAGATTGGCTTCATGTGTGGAGTCAGAGAAGGAAGGTTTGAAATTTAGGCATGAGCCGTTGTGGAAATTGTCTTTCACCCCATCTTTTACTGATGACAAATATCTCTCTGCAACTTCAAAACCTAAAGTGGCCATAATCCGGGAGGAAGGAAGCAATGGTGACAGGGAAATGTCTGCTGCACTCTATGCTGCTGGGTTTGAACCATGGGATATAGCTATGTCCGATCTGCTCAAAGGAGATGTATCTCTTGGTGAATTCCGGGGTATTGTGTTTGTGGGAGGTTTTAGCTATGCTGATGTGCTCGATTCTGCAAAAGGTTGGTCCGCCTCAATTCGGTTTAACCAGCCTCTTCTGACCCAATTCCAGGAATTCTACAAGCGGCCAGATACTTTCAGTCTCGGTGTTTGTAATGGCTGTCAGCTCATGGCTCTTTTGGGGTGGGTCCCTGGTCCACAAGTTGGTGGTGTCCTTGGTGCTGGTGGGGACCCTTCTCAGCCAAGATTTATTCACAACGAGTCTGGTCGGTTCGAGTGCCGATTCACAAGTGTGATTATACAGGACTCTCCTGCTATAATGCTCCAAGGAATGGAAGGTAGTACACTGGGAGTGTGGGCAGCTCATGGAGAGGGGAGGGCATATTTCCCTGATGATGGTGTTCTCGATCGGGTTATTCATTCGAATTTAGCACCAGTGAGATATGCTGACGATGATGGCAATCCTACAGAAACTTATCCGTTTAATGTGAATGGGTCTCCATTAGGAGTAGCTGCAATTTGCTCTCCTGATGGTCGGCATCTAGCCATGATGCCTCATCCCGAACGTTGCTTCTTAATGTGGCAATTCCCCTGGTACCCAACCCACTGGAATGTGGACAAGAAAGGCCCTAGCCCATGGTTGAAGATGTTCCAGAATGCCAGGGAATGGTGCGCCTAAGGTAGGCTTAGCTTTGTTTTTGTTGTCATTTGCTTGTCCTTCGTTGTGCCTCTGCTTACTGAAATCATTTGTGTTTTTACCTGCAGCATGTAGCCTTCTTAGTAATCGCATAAACTGCAATGCACATGTTTGGTAAAAAGCTTTGCTGAAGTTAAGTGATGATGATGCGGCTGAATATCAGAGATAGTTGGTGCAGCAGTTGCAGAGCTTGATTATCCTTGTGTCAAGTGGAAAATCCTTTCCAATATGAAATGTTCTGATTAGAAAGAAAAATAATTGATTGAAGAAATCTCTTTTGTACCCCAAATGCAAAATCCATTCAGCTATCTTTTTCCATAAACTTATCTTGTACCGCATGGAAGGCATTCTATGATGTTTCAGCAGCTCAATGCAATTTTAACTCTTACTGTTCAATTCAATGGTCTTGCAATGGTATGCAGTATATATTTCGTTATCGTGCGAATACTGAGGCATTTCGTTCATCTACAGTCAAGTGATAACTTTAACTTGTGTGGTTGATCTGTTCTGGATGGTGAAATATTTAGAAGCTTGCTGAAGTTCCATTTTTTGGTTTGAAACTGAAAGCCGTACTTTACAATCTACATTTCTAATTATAAAATGTGGAGATACAACAAAACTTGCCCAAATTTGGGGTCAAAAGAATCTCCTGTTATACAAGCTGATCCACTTCCCAGCCTGATATGGTGCTTCTTAGTTGCCATTGTTTCTGCTGTCAGGCCAACATGGAAACATCTCAGTGTCGACTCCTTTAAGGAGTTCGTCTAAGCTGTATGGGGGAGAGTTGGAGAATAGGCTCTGATCTTCCCATCCATACACAGTGGCAAGCTCTGCGGTCATCTTGCTATCAAAATCTTGGTTTCTAGCGATTGTATTTCCTTGATTCTGATGGCACTGTGTGTTGATAGGATCTGGATATGCAGAAAGCTGTGTCTCACAGTTTGAGGCAGAAGAACTTGCACGTAAACTACCAGAGCTGCCAGCAAGCCCAACGACAGAGTTCGAAGCCATTTGGTGGCTAAGAATATCGATTTCCTGTTGTAAGCTGGAAACCTGCAGAGACAGCCACAAAGGTAAGGTTAGTGGTCTGTGAATTCTTGTTCCCTTCCAACTGAGTAAAATTCTTCTAGCTGATTCTTGCAGGGATATAATGGTGAATTAAGAGAGAAAGAGCTTGAAACCTGGTGTTGGAGGGTCATGATGTAAGCAACACAACCATAGATTGGATCCCCCATGCGAGCTAAGGCCTCATAAGCAATCGTGACTGCAGCATCTCCTCGATAGTTTACAGGCAAGTGAAGTAATAGCTTTGAAACATTGCTGGCACCAAACACCTTGTGCACTGCTGCAAAGTGGGTTGCAGCTTGGTCATAACTGAAGTAAGGTGCAAAAACGCATTCCTTCATCATGCACCTTCTTCTTAGGAACTTGCATGCACCACAAGAAGAGCCTTGTCCTGTCATTGTCTTCCTACTTACTTTTTTTACCTTTTCTAAACTCTCTTTGGGTGGAGGGGGCTTAAAACTTGTACCAAGGCTGGTATGAAGTTGGTTTAGGAACTTGTGTGATTTGCTCTTTATAGTAAAGCATATAGGTAGGGGTTGTTTGTTCTTTTTGCTGTACCAAGAGACATTCTCACTTTTCACAAAAGTAGGGTTCTTTAGGGTCTCCTTTATGGGCTACATTTGTCAATTCTCAAATTGGGTAAGCTTTCTTTCTATTATAATGGTTCAGAAAAGGACTTGTCTATTTCATTAAAATTCTCTAGCAAATAAGGCACTGATGGAAGACCTAATCATCACTCTCATTAGTTGGGCTCTAAAAATGAGAGATGATTGCTTTAAATACTACTTTACCTGTAAACACTACCCATCATTACCCTTAGCCAAGTACAGTAGTCTATCAGTTATCAAAACTTCAGAAGATGATGACAAGACAGGAAAAAATGGTTGAACGTTAGAATTCTGCAGTATTATAGCATATCTGCATAAAGTTCGATACTTGAGTTTGATAAAAACCCTTTTGCCAAAGTCAAGATAAACTTTGCCCACTGTGATCGTCGGTGTAACCATAATGATAAGTGATTCAAGTTAACACAGTCAGGTTGTGTTACTCACTGATGATATCCTCCAAAGACCACGATACAGCATTGAGATTCTTACAAGCGTACTTACAACAGTCCTACGTTCATGGATTGTTCTGTTAGTCTGATTCTGATCTCTGATTGGTTTGGTAATATGTGCATGCTCTTCAACCTCTTGTTTCAGTGGCAGCTGGAACAAAAAAGACAGCTTAGCTCAGCAGAGCCCCAACAAATGAAATTGGTCGGTAGTTGATTATTACCAAAAGCAAAGTTAGTGCATTTGTTGGGTGGTTACTGCTATTATTTTAATCCTTTGGGTCAAATCAAAATCCAAGTTGAGGAATCGATGCATTGCGGCTCACTCATTATTGTTTTTATGTGCAGGATTCATAGCTTAGGCGGGCAACTTGGAACGTAGAGCTGATGACTCATGGTGGCTTTTGTCTGGTTTACTGGTTAAATCTCTCCTTTAATTATTGATGCTTTGTTATAATTTACTACCAGTTAATCCCCTGTTGATCAAGCTTTTCCTTTGTGCTGCATTTTTATCAGGTAGGCCTGTTGGCCACTTAAAATTACTGTATTCCATCTGGCCAGGTTGAAACTCTTCCAAATGCACCAAATACCATAAAGGTCTGACCCTCTTGGATCCGTCGTCGATCTGGCCTTGACATGTCGCGTCTGGATTCACTATCTAACATATATCCTCTCTCTGTTAAACAGCATCAAAGTCCCCTGCACTCCTCGATGCCACAGACTCCAAACAGTTTGGATCGTCAAATATCAAACAAGAGGTTGCCTCCACCAGGAGCGAATTCGGATTCTTGACATCATCACGCTTTTGGACTATTGGCAGAGTGTAGTGTCTCAAAAGTGAAAGTAAACACAACACTCATTCCCTATTAAGCAACAGTCCTTTGGCTTTGTCAAGGAATGAACTTTTTCAACAATGTTTGACCCTTCATTGTGTGGTAATTCTTGTATGCTTCACGGCTCTAGAAATAGAAATAAAAGCAACTGGAGGAGACAAGACTGCCAGTTTTCGATGGCATCTTTCTGTCTTTTCACAACTGTTCCAAGGTTGTTGTTCATTTGAAGGGGTGACTAATGTTTACTTTTACTGAAGTAGCTTTTGTCCAGGTTTTCGAGTTGAACGATGAAAGTGTCTTTCTCTATCAATGGACCAGTGATCATGGTTCTGTATGTTCTTCCGTTCCAAGTTCTGTTTTTAGGTTCTATGGTTGCTTGCCAGCTCTGCCATCCTACTGCTACCTTGCCTATGATTGCTTTGCATGCATAGAGTCTATCCTCGTCGAACCAGGTAAGCAATTTTTCAGTTCCCTGTTCAGCATGCTTGAGCTGTCATCACCATGATTAACGTCAGTAATCCTAATCCTTTGTTCTCTTTTTATTCTTTCCTTTAGTTTGTTGCGCTCTTTCGGGAAAACATCCAAAACTACCACTATTAAAAAAAATTACAAATATACCACACATTCCCAACAATTTTCAAAAATACCACCCTTCCACACAAAATGCACCTCGAAGACGCGGTTATAAACCAAAACGCGCGTCCAAGGCGCGGTTAACGGTCAAACCGCGCGTTCCACAGGCGGTTTGACTGTTTCTGGCTGTCAAACTGCGTGGCCACGTGGCGGTGCATCAGACCGCGCAATGGGGGAGCGATCTGACGGCCAAACCGCGCGCCAGCTCAGCGATCCGCGTCGCTCAGTCAAACCGCTCCCCCGAAGCGCGGTTTGACTGTTGGGGAAAGCTAAACGCGCCCTTGAGGCGCGGTTTTAGGCGGGGTAAAAGGACGAAACCGCCCCTCCCTCACGCAGTTTCGTCCCTATATAAACCCCCTTCGCCCTCCCATTTTCTGCACACCAAACTCATTCCCCCCTCTCTCCCTCTAACTCCTCACTCTACCCACTCCCCTCCCCACCAAAAAACCTTATAATTAGTTATTTTGTTAGTTGCGGCTAAGTCCAATCTGCCTTCAAAAAACTTTTTCTTTGGTTTTCACTAAAAAATCGTCGAATCCCTGTCCGGATTCGGAAAAAATGGTCGATTTCATCCAAGAAGAGGGCATTTTCTATGATGATTATCAAACGGTACGTACTCATTTTACCCAATTGTTGTTGTTGTTATAATGATTTATTTAATTTATATACTAATTGATTTATGTTGTTGTTATGCTATCGTAGGTTGGGCCGGATGTTGATATTTACAATCAACGATATTATGTTGATCAAGGACCGATTGATCCGACTGTTTTATACGATCAAGCTAATCATCGTTCAAGAGACGTTTGGAACGACCACAAGGTACATATTATTTATCATCACTTGTAATTTGTATTTTGTTAAAGTAATTTATTTGTTTGTACAATAATTTACTTAATTGTTAATCGTATTGATTATTTTCAATAATTTAAATCAATACAATACAACACTTATTTAGACTCTTTATAAAGAAATGCATGTCTAAGGAAATGGGGACTTAAGCGATCATCATGATCCCCCCATGATCTGGGAAAATCGGGTTCTAAGAGATCCTCGGGTCCCCCCTTTTCTGTCAAAAATACTGTGTTTCTAAGGAGATGTATACCTCTCCTAAGAGTCTTACGAGTGTACTTGTATTGCTTTAAATTATTGAAAATAATCAATACGATTAACAAAATAATATATTTGATTTTATGTGTATGTGTACAAAAAATAATTATACTTAAATTTCGAAAATTATTTTAGTTATTTTAAAATTAATGTTTATTAGATCATGTATATTTCTCTAAAACAACCTTGATTTAATTAATATTGCAACTTAAAAATTTATTTTAGTTATGTTAAAATTAATGTTTATTAGATAATGTATATTTCTCTAAAACAACCTTGATTTAATTAATATTGCATCTTATAATATTATTTAGTTATGTTAAAATTAATTTTTATTAGATAGTGTATATTTCTATAAAACAACATTGATTTAATTAATATTGCATCTTATAATATATTTATATATGTATAAATCATCAACTTATGGTGAAATTTAAATTCTTCTCTATGATGCATACCATATAGTTCGCTATAGGGGCACGACGAATGTGCTTGAATGGAACGACGTCATCTTTCCCTTTCTAAAAAGGGCAAGATTGGATTCGATTAGGCATTTTAATGGAATCAAGATCGACCGCCAACTCATCACAGCATTGGTAGAGAGATGGCGAAAGGAGACACACTGCTTCAATTTTCGTGAAGGCGAGTGCACCATCACACTTAAGGACATCGCCATCCTAACCGATTTGCCCATCGATGGTGATGTTGTTTGTGTGGACTCTACGCTACCACCTAAAGTTGTTGCCAATATGAGTGGTTGGCAGCATTTTATATGGACGGTCACCGGGTTGTGTACGCCAGAAAAGGGAGATCACGATGCGGATGGTCATCCACTATTGTCCAAGGGCAAAGTATCCATCACGTGGTTGACAGCGGAGATCAGGCGTAAGCACAACCCTGAGTTCGGAGGCATTCCCCTCACGGAGGAAAGTTCGGAGCATGATAAAGACATTTATGCACGTATCTACATCCTCGGCATGATCGGAGGAGTTTTCTTCCCCAAGAAATCCAACAACCTAATCAGCAATTCATGGTTGAAGATCATACTTGGGAGTTGGGATGATATGGGAAACCTGAGCTGGGCATCTGCTTGGCTAGCTCATCTCTACCGATCCCTCTGTAATGCTAGTGCGAGAGCGGTGAAGGAGATTGATGGGGGCCATGTTCATCGTCCAATTTTGGGCTTCGGAGCATTTGCCATGGATTGCGCCGAAGGTAGACCCCGACTAGGAATGGGGTCCCGACCATCCCCTACGACATGAAGCTTATGGTTGTAGGTAAATGTTTTCTATCCCACTCATAGTTCTCACCTTTTTTTACTAATTGGGTATTTTATAACGAACCTGCTATTATGTATTAACACTTAGGGGTGATAAACGGTTGCCGGTTATTCGGTTAACCGCATAACCGAACCGAAAACATCGGTTAACCGCTAACCGTTTATCATCATCGGTTGGCGGTGTCGGTTGGGGCTTTGGGGAATTTTGGGCAACCGTCGGTTGGCGGTTTATAACCGACGACGGCGTCGGTGCACCGTATACCCGACAACACCCTCTTTTCTTTTTTGCCTGATATAATTCCTGAACCTCTCCCAGTTCCCAACTCCTCCCTCGTTGCCCGCCATCCTTATCCCTCCACTCTCCTCAAGACCTCAACCCCTCACATCCAGCCCTTCCTATCCCCAACGTGAGCCTCAACCCTCCCTCTTTCTCAACCCATCATCACCCTCCACGGCACCTCCTAGACCAAAACCAGACATGCAATCAACGAGAACCCTAAATCAAAATTCTCCCCACTGCCCAGAATTGCCGCCGCCGCCCCTTCCTTTCTTTGCCGCCAGCCTTCATTCGCGCGACCA